CTCTCTCTCTCTCTCAATGGAGATGTCTTCTCGGTATTCTCAGAGAGTCCTGAGAAAACGGCATTTTCATCGAAAGGATTGAAACTCATTACCAAGCCAGGTCGACTCCGCATTTTTGCAGGCTGCGGATCCTCGGCGTGGAGCTCGATAAGCCGGGCTCGATGTTACATAAGAAGAAACGCGGCGAGAGAGATGTGCATACTCTCGCCGAGAGACTGTGCGCGAAGGTAAGTAGTGGATGTTCTCCGGCGAACTTTCACCGGGATAGCATACTCTCGTGTATAGGCGTATTGCACGATTCTCACGAATATTTGCCATAAACTCGGCCCCGCTCAGCAACCACATTTATATATTCGATACTTTGAATGCCGATATTCGCGAAATATGTATACGTTTCCATGTATGACTTGCGTCGCATAAATTGTGGAACCAGTTGCTCGATGTTCCCGGATTTGCTTTAATTTTACTTTTCCTTTCTCCTTCGTCCCTTCGTTTTCGAATATATTCGCCGTCTCTCTCAGTTTACGATTTCAGTTTCGAATGTTTGCTGGATGGAAAATGGAGCTTGTCCGAGTGAAATAATTTTCAAACAATTCTCGCGGGAAGAATGAACTTAGAAAAATATCTAATTTCAAACAAGGACGTTTATTTTCGTATTTTATTCGTAGTTTCTTCCAAATATTTCCAAAGCAGAAATTTGACACTTTGAGCTTGAAATTAGTCTAAAAAAAAAATCTAAAAGATTAATACTGAATGCCGGGGATATGACAAATTAAGAATGCATTCATCTTTTTGATTTTATTGTGATATGTTGTCTTCCTTAAATTTCTAATCAAAGGATTAAAAGAAAGTGATATTATTTTGTTAGTGAAAACAAAATTACCAAAGTTATAATCTTAATCTAATCAAGACCAGATTATTCATCAACATTTCTTGGTATACAATATTAAATACAACATGTATATATGGATCATTTATTTTTTAAGTAGCGTAAATTTCTTTTTACTTTGGCATATTGAAGTGTCATGTAGCAATAAAATTTCAATTAATTGAAACAAACAAATATTTAAAAACTCGAATCATAAATTGTTTATAAATGAAAATTTCATATTAACGTACATGTAAATTTTTCGTTTCCTCAAAAAGTAGACTTACACCACTGTCAAATTAAGCGATCCAATGTAATGCTTTATTTATTATCATTATTTCAACTATCGAAACATTACATTCTTTCTTACACCTATGATTTAGTGATAAAATGTGAAATGTTAATATATGAAGATTTCTCGATCAATCTGAAGATCAAAAATTGAATCTGAACAGCAACGAAGATTCTCGAATTTAATAATAATTTAATCTATTAGTACGTTATTAGATTTATTTTTAGTTCATTAATATCAATAACAGTGCATAAAGGGAAAACAATTCGAAACAGAGCAAATGTTGATGAATGCCTTCGGTACCTATAATTTATCGCGTGCAGTTAAATCGCATGCGTTTAATTTACGAGTTAATGCGTTTATCGATACATTAACATGTTAATATGTTAATATGTCGTCGATATGTTTAATTAACGAGTTAGTAATGGATATGATTTTGATCACTGAGAAAGAGAAAAAGATCGTGTCTCGCGATCAGTCTCGATCTATCGTGTTTACAATAAAAAAAGAGAAAAACACTAAGGAAATATCGGTACTGCATTTTTCCAAATGGGATTACGTTTACTGGATTGGGAAAGGAGGACAAAGATCAGACACAGAGCGAAACACAATATCAAATGTTTCACGTCGCGAGTAGAGATTAAACTAACCCAACTGATAACAGTGACACTGACAAACTTGGAATTAAAAGTCTATGGCGATGTCCATCTGTCTGAATAGCAACGGAAATAGCGTTATCCTGGTATCTCCAAATGTTCTTTAATTCTACATTTCACCCACACTAGAATCTATTTACAAACACGTTTCACACCTGTCACCTGTTACAAACGGTCGACTATCCCCAAGCTTGATAAAAATTAGACAAAGGAAAACGAATACCACTTTGCAAGTTTCTTTGAAAATCACGCGATATTCGTTCGTCTGAAAAGCTATAATTGATAAGAGAGGGAAAAGAGGATGGAAACAGGGTCTTTTCCTTCA